AATAAATTCTTTATCACAGACAGTAATGTGTCCCTAACTTCCTTTTTCCTTAAAAGTCATATTTCTGGGGACTCATTAATTATCTGGTAAGAATGTGTTCGTTCAAAAACAAAGTTAAAGGAATGGGTCAATGTGCAACTTTATCTGTATGAAGTTATAAGGCATTAATAATGATATGTTAAAACAAATAATTTATGATAAAAATAGATCAAAACTCTCTTAAAAATATCTCAACTGAGACAATCAAAGAAGAGAACAAAGATCATATTTACCGCACATGTATGCTTTAAGCTCATACTGTGATGAAAAAACTTCTTTTTTTGGCTTACAACAGACCTTATGCCTTGAATGGCAGGTGTCCTTACACAACCACGGACTGAAGCTTAAGTTCTGTCTAAAGTTACTGTGAAATTTACACATTCATGTGTGCTACTAATAAAGACAGAAAAAGTTAGTTGAACTATCTGGTACTATTATTATTAGTATTCAGTGCAAATTATCTTATGATAATATTCTTTCCTATAGTGTGGGCTTCAGTCTTGTGCCAAACTGCAGCATAGATTACAATGTCATGGTCCAAATGATGATCAATGACTTAGCTAGTATGCAGCCAGAACAAAGGAATTTGTTTACAATAAAAAAGTAAGTAGCATAGCTTTATTTTAACATCAGTTGCTAGAACTGTGCAATGGGTGTCTTGGTATCGAGAGGCAGATATAGAGTTTTCTTTCATAAGTTACAGTAATGGTGAGGATGGGAAGTGGGGGCCGTGGCGACGGGTTGCTGGCGAGCTTGCTAAAACACATACCTGAGCTCTACTGGAGCCATGCAACCTTGCTCTGTATCAGTTATCTGCAAAGGCTGACTGAACAAAATTGCCTTCATCATGCAAGCACTGCTATCTGCGCTACAGTAATAAAGAAACACGCTGATAGATACAACGGCTTCAAGTGACAAGCAATCACCAGGAATCTGCAGTGAAATTGTCGGCTGATTGGAAATGTTCTCAATGTCTCCAGATGGTATCTGCCCTTGAAGAAGCCATTCATTGCCTAGAAAATAAAAAAGTAAATTATTAAGACTTCGTAAGAAGATAAGGAGGAAATCAGAAAAATCTTATGAAGACTTTATTAATTCAATCAAGAAATATTTATCAAAAGCCTCTAAGTACCAGGCGTTGTGTTCTGTGGGAAGCACATAAATACAATATAAATGAGATATAATGACCACCCATGAGAAGTTCCGACTCTGATGATCATTTTATCTAATTATTATAATTCTTCTTTTGTTTGGACACTGTTAAATAAGTTATAAATTTATTTCTATTGAAATCAAGCTGAATATTACAAATATGGCTACAGAGCCTTAATCTCTAAAGTTAAAAATGAAACCCAGTAAGTTTAGAAATAAACAGGACACTTAAGAAAATAGATCATTTTTACCAAATAGATAAAAGTCTTCAGGGATATAACATAAAAACTTACAAAACAAGCTTTAGGGAATACAAATGTATGTACAACTCTGTAGTGACTCTGTAAATGAAATAATGATGAATTATTGAATATCCAAAAATAGTAATAAAAAAAAAATCCACAGATTTCTTTAGAAACAGATACCATTGCATATAAATATACTCCATGGGCTCAAACAATATAAATACTTAGAGATTTTATATACCTCATTTTAATACATAAAATTCTTCCTAGACTTAAATACACAGATTATCTATATAACAAAAATCTAATAAACCACTAAAAATTTTTAAGCCTAATATTAAAATTTACTTTAAATGTCTTCATTTATCTCTAGCCTTCTCTCGGAAGGAGCACACATGTCGTACTGAGGGAGCACAGACTTCCACTGACATTTAGCCTAAGAGGGTGGCAGATACCAAGAGCCGGCATTTGGGGAACATGTCTTCAGTACAGCACACTGAACATGATCCAACGACTCATCAGTGACTTGGGGCATCTGTACAAAACCTGGGTCATATACTGAGTGGTGACAAAATGCCACGTCTATTCTTTAGCTTTGCTGTCTCTTTCCTCTGTTCTCAGGATGAGTCACCAGACTCAGAGTATCTGCCTCCATCAGTCCTCTTGCTTTAGTCCTTTGGCTTATTACTTCTAACGTTGTGTTGATTGCAGAATCAAATTTGAGAAAAATATGTTAAGTAAGAGTAAGGAGAAGGTGAGAGGTAAGAATCTGAAGAGTTAAATGCAGAGCTTTTTATATAGAACTATTTAAATAATTCTTTTAAAATTCTCTTCAAAATTCTTTGGCTTTCTTTGCTTATTCCTGGACAGGAGCATCTTTTATTTAATGCTTGATTTTGCTAAAGAGATTAGTAGAGAACTTCTATTTTAAGTCAAACAAGAAAAGTAATAAACGGTGCTATTTTAAAATATGTCCAAATCTAGAAATAAAACAGAAAATGTTTCTTTAGATATTTTTCATATACATCACACATACGATCTGTGAAGTTATAATATATGTTGGTGCTTTTATGCTGCCTTTTTTTGGCTTAAAACTTTCACATATTCTAACCACTTTAAGATACAGACCAAAATTCAGTTAAAAATAAATGTTTCTGTTTCTAAATAGCCAGCCAAGAAGAGAAAATGTCCTTTAGCCATAAGTGTACAAATGTACTCTATAAAATAAATAATTTTCAAAAAACCCTAAATTACTAGGATTCTTGCCTGAAAACTTATTTGCCCCTATATAATAAAAATGGAGCTAATATCTAACACAAGTGATAAAATAGCTAAGTATTTTCCCTACAATCTACTTCACTTTCCTTTAATACTACCTGTATTTTATATCCCAATAATATGCCAATATTAATTTGTGTGTGACAATGCAGAGTTAAAATAAGCATGTTAATTTGTCAACATCCCAGTTTAAAAACCAATCCACTGCTATTTAATTACACAGAGAAATTAAATTAGTGATGTCCACTTGATGCAATCTTTCAGACTTTATGGACACAAAACAGTTAAACTGGCAGTCTAGGACTTGCTCTGAACCTACTACAGAAGGCTGTGGAGTGGCCAGGGTTTGAGTACTCTTCTGTCGACAAAGCTCCAAACATCCTAGTACTACACATGGTCGGCCCTCTCCCTTGTGGGGAGGGAAAGGAGGGCTGTTTCGCCACAGGCTCAGTCAATCACCCCAGAACCAGCTTCCCAAACTCTAACTAGCAGTTCTTCCCAGCTAGTATATCAAGATCTTTTTGTCCTCTTGGTTTGGACCCTGAGTTAATAGTTGCAGGCCAGTAGCTGCTGCCCTGAGAATGTACGAAGGTAAAAAGGCGTGAAGCTAGGATTTGGGTCACATACACAAGAAAAGTGTGTGAGAGGGTATGAGGGAGGAGGAGTTGGGGAGCAAACGGAAACTTGAGTGAGAAAGTGTGAAAGAGCGTGGGAGACTAGGACAGAGGAAGACCGTTAGAGACAAGAGAACATAATTTAGACATTCAGGACCACTAATATCTCACTCTAAAATTATTGCCCATTATGTTAGAGATGATGGAAAACACTACTATGAGGCAAGCAGTACATTTCCTTATCACCAATTAATGCAATAAGGAGCTAGTTCACACTGTGATTCACACACATAGAAGAAAGGGAGAAATCCATACAGGCGGCTGGAAGGAAGAGGTATAGAAAAAGATTAAATAAGAAGGCTCCACTTTATTTCTCTATTTCAGACTTTTTAACTCCAAGACGTTCTTTTTGGGAACAAAAACAGAATGAAGAACAAGGTTAGAATAAAGGGAAGAGGTATAAGAAGACCTATATTCTAAGAAACAGTGCTGACCACCGACATATAACTTCTGGTGAGTTGCACTGTTCTTTAATAAAAGGGAAGTAAGAATCCTGAAGACTAGAGAAAACTGCTAAAGTGGAGTCAGACCTAGATTCACTGTTTTACATAATCTTGCAAATCTTGCCCAATTAGAGTAAGAATATCACATAACAAATGAAAAAAAATTACTAGATTGAACATTGAGAATTTGTGAAATATTTGCATCTGCAGATTATTCTCATACCATCAGCTGATAGAAACCAGCAACTGGGTGCTCCGTCAGTTAGCTTTGCTCCTGAAGGGAGTTCTAATCTCAGTTTGAACTGAAGAGTCTGGCCCGGACACGCAGTCATGGGGGAAAGCCCAATGCTTGGAGCAGATTTAGGCAGTTTGGGTAGTGTCCTCTGTTTTTCTGCTGGGAATGGGCCATCTACCACAGCATTTTCAGATGTGATGATGGGAAGCTAGGAAAAAGAAAAACTGTTATTAAAACACAAGTACTTTATAGATTTGTAGAGTTGGAGAGCTTATTTTTAGACTTTAGTAGAAAAATTAAGCTCTACATCAATGAAACTAATTGCCATTCTAGTCTGAATTAGAATGTGTTTACTTAGATGCCCTAAAGATTATTTTGTAGGTGCAGAAACATAGTTCATTTTAGCAAAAAAAAATTACCAAGACTTATGAATGAGACAGAATTAATTGTCCAATGGTTACAGATGGCAGGAAATTAAAGCAAAACTTTATAAATTTAAATGTAGTGGACATACATTCTCTTACAACTTTCATTGTCAACTATAAGAAGATGTTATTCATCTTATGTCAGAGATCTATGTAAAAAGAAATGATTACATTATGATAGTAATCTGTGTTTTTTATTTTAAAATGTATACCTTGCAAATTAGTAGACTTCTAGGAAAAAAAGTCTTGCATTTTCTTCTGGTAAATGTAATACATCAAGAGGTAGCTTGTAACAGACACTTCTCCTTGAAAATTCTATAAAAGATCATGTCTATATCTTTAAAAATTAATTATAACTTATGTAACTTTCCTCCAATTTATTTTCAATGTCTTGAGAAATGTGGCTTCTAATGCTTTCTTTGGAAGATTATTTGGTAAGGGACTCACCAAGGGAAACAAAACTACACATTAACCTAAGGATCACTGAAAAAACAGAAACAAAAAGCTAAATGTACTACATACATGGTATACGTATGTAGTGTGTGTATGTCCACACACTTAAAATCAGATATGACTACTATCCTTTTTCTTCTCAAAGGCTCATCAAATTCTCTCCAACTTCCATTATCTTTCTCAAACTCTCAGCACAGATGGAATTTTTATTTTAAGAATAACAGGATATCCTTAAAGCAGTCCTGCTGATCTGGATACCAAAACCACAACAGAGGCATCCACTCTACTCTATTGGAGATGGCCTAACCAAAAATGCCTCTGTCAGTGATGTGAGGATCTCAGTTATCATTCTTAAAACCACACCCTTTAACTTATACTTTAAGATTACTTACCACAGAAGTCATTTTTGTTTCTAAATCCATTACTTTAATTTGATGATTATTGGTATCTGCTACATATAACAACCGACCATTCTCTCCAATACATAAGCCTCCTGGTTCATTAAAAGTTGACTCGGTAAAACTGGAACTGATAACATCATTTGTGTCTCCAGTCCCTGCTAATGTTGTACAGTTTTTTGTTTTTGGATCCACAACTTTAATCTAAAAAAGAACAAAAATTTATATATCTGAAGATCTCATGTTTGTAGTATGGAAGGGTGTAGTATTAAGCAAATTAGAGAATTTCTGATTGCCATTAGCATTCACAATAAATCTCACAAAAAGAACAGATATTTCCATATTTTCTTGAAAAGTCGAACATTCAAATTAGTCTTAACGGGAGACTCTATTTTAAGAGCTAAAAACTATGTAAAATCCCTAGTTATATCCTGTCTTCTAGAAGCAATCTTTCAAAAATTATTTCTGGAATTAAAAAAAATTTAAATTGTTTTGCTTTTCTTCACAATGGGACACACTTTAACAACTGAACTTTCTCCTCATGAGCATCTAAGTGTTACCTGAGGATTTGCTACTTTTCTTACATGTAATGATTGCTAGTTACATCTCAACTATATTACATTTATGGTCTCTCATCACAAAGTACCGTATTAATATTTATTACCCACTGATTTTTATGAAAAAGAGAAATGCAATAAAATTGAAACAGTTAAACTGACAAAAATGGAAATGCTGCTGAAAACAAAATTATTTGCTAACAGGCACTGCAACTACCCAACAGCTCAAAAATGTTCATTTGTTAGTTGACATATCAGTTTCCCTGCTACTTGCCTTCTTATTTACAAATATGTTACTAAGCAGCTTTGATAGGATGTAATTCCCAACTTCTGGCCATAGACAGTGGAATTGGTTTGGTGCTTTCCCTAGTTCAGGGTATCATCATAACCTCTTAACAAAGAAAGGGCCAAGAAAAGAACAGAACAAGCTGCCATACAGTCGTCGAGGACTGTTATTCCTCTCTATATTTTAGAGTGGCAGTTGTAGGAGGCTCAAAGATCTTTCAGCATTTTAAATACCACATATGAAAAGCAAGGTATCATGTATTATAATTCTGTCAAGACTCACCTTGTGATTGTAGGAGTCTGCCACGTAAAGTAAGTTCCTTTTCTTGTCCCACGTTACTCCAAGGGGGTGCTGAAGCTTTGCATTGATTCCTACTCCATCAACATCACCAAAAGCAAATAAATTCTTTTATTTTTTTTAAAAAGAAAGAAACAGCAATTATTACAATTTTTATAGTGCTTTGTTAGAATATAAAGTGAAAATTAAGACAGTTGTATACGCTATTTAAGTTAAAAGGGGAAAAGTTCTGGTTTTCATATAAATAGGGCTGGGTACTTAACTCAGATTACAAAAAAATGATAGAATTTTGAACCGTATTAGTTTGTGGTGCTTTGTAGTTTTACTCACCACAGTCACACATCGGGTCAGCAAGGGGTTAGGTTTGCTGGTCAGATGTTCTTTCCACCCCACTGTCCAGTATCTAATTTATACTTTTCTCTTCTCTCCAATGATCAATATTTCATCCTCCCTTTCTCCCTGAAGCCTCAACATTTATATGCAATCAAGTAGAGTCAATTTACTTTCCTTAGATGGTTTGTTACTTGTGTTTCTTCATATTCACATTTACTTTGGTTTGACTTCCATCTGAACTCATGGATAGGCCAAAATGATCTCTCTCAAATCTTATTAATTTTAAATAATTCAGGGAATTGTCAGCTTGGTCAGTGTCTGAGCACACAGCACAAGAGTGCCTGTCATTACCATGGGATCTCTTTCTCCTCCTACGAGGTGCTTCACTGCTCCATCTTTCAGTGAGACGGTTCTCACCGTACTGCTCTCACTATCTGCTACAAATAGGCAGCTCCAGGGATCTTCAGAGGCCAGGGAAAGGCCTGAAGGTTGGGCAAAACCCGCCTTGTGAGGATATGCATTGTTTCGATTTTCTTCATTTCCACTTCCAGCAAACCGAAGGCAAGTTCCTTTTTTTAACTCACTGAAAAAGACAAGTTCATAGGCAGAGTCAACATGTGGTATGTTGCCAATTCAGTTATTACATAAATGAATGTACGTGATCAAATGAAAAGTGATAAACACTGGGGAAAAAAACAAACAAAACTAGTGATCCTGGCCTACTTAAATTGTGCAAGTCAGCTTTTACTGTCATTTTTCCAGTCATTAACTTATTTAGCCACTGTGTAGGCACCTTTCTACTTTTCTTTGACACACACAAAACCGAAACTACTCTCAAAGGCCAGATAGGAAGTCCCCAACAAGGTCAGAATTATAAGGTAAATCAGATCATTGATGACATAGTTATTTTCCCACGTTCTTAACTTCTTCTTGGCTTCAATATTTTAATAATATTAGGTTCTAAAAGGGAACTAAAAAGATCATGTAGCTTTTGATAGTTTAAAGCTTAAATTTTCATTAAAAATGTTTTGTGACTAGCAAAAGGAATTAAAGAATAGTTTCTGAAAGACAGATCAGGCATCACCATTTTAAGAAAATGATATTGGATGATTATGCTGCTTTAACTAATCGATTGTACAAATCAATTTCTTAGATACGGTAGAGAAATTTCTATTTAAAGGACTATTGCAATGATTCTTTTTATAATGCAGAGAAGTTTTACACCTTGGTTTCTAAGTTTATGACAGAGGGACTGTAAGGAGGATACTGTATTGTGTTATGTTGAGGGAAGGGAAGAAGCTGACTTAGGATGCAAAATGAAAGACTACATGTATATCATTTCCAAATATGGTACAACACGCAAAAGTCTAACAGGACCATCACTTATTGGTTGATATGTTCCTCACGCTAAGTTAGGCAGGAAGCAGCGAACAGAGGCAAAGAGATACAGCATGTATAAAATATGGCCACTTTTCATGGAATTTATAGAAATAAGCTAGCTAGAAAAATACATGTACTAACTAATATGCAAAACAAATAAACTGAAAGGTAATTACTATAAGGAGTCTTAGCACTTTAAAAAAAGAGTTCTGTTAATTAAATAAAAGAGTGGAGAGAAACAGTGATTTTTAAAACATTAGGGGTCATTACCACCTGAAGATCAGTAATAAATAAAGCTAACATATCCTTAAAATTAAGAGGCAGGTCCATGTTACCTGAGGGACCATTTTCCTATCATGAATGACAGTGACAGCTCTACTTGTTAGGAAATCTAGGGAGCTCTTGACCATCTATGTTCAAATCAGCCATCACCCAGAACAGCATATTCTGGCAACCTCTGTTACTTCTGTTTGCTATTTATAATCATGCCTCACCAAAATCTTACCGGTAACCTCACTGTTGAGGTTATTATTATCTCTTGCCTGGATGATAGCAACAGTCTCCTCAATGGTATCTGTGTCCAGTCTTGTCCCACTAGAGTGCTGCCAGCATTCTTTCAAAAACACAAATCTAATCATGTCACGTCCCAGTCTAAAACTTTCTAAAAGGTTTGTAGAATGTCCAAATCTCTTAAAAGAACTCACAAGGCACTGCATAATCTGGCTTCTACTGACATCATTAGTGTCAACTCCTGCCTGGAAAACCTCCCACTCCTCTCAGGGCTCAGTTTAGCAGCCTCTTCCAGGAAGCCTTCCTCGACACCTCAAACCTTAGTGACATTGGGTGTTTCTCTTACTCATGTAAGGAACAATTTTAATTAAGTCACTATTGCAGTGATTCCTTTTACACACACTACTTTTAAATTGCTTGCTGATCTGATTTTTCTTCTGTAAGTCCACTGAGGACAGCAACCACATCTTTTCATTTTATCCTTAACACAGTGAGCATATCATTTTCATCTCTGTTGCCTAGCGTAGTGCCTCGCATATAGTATGTTTAATAAATATTTGTTAATGATTCAATGTTATAAAACATAAATGTGTTCCAAAGCAACATGCACGCATATACACACTATTTGGAAAATCTGATATTTTGGATTATCTATATAACTGCTCCTTTCTACCAACAAATGTAGCTGAGATGACCACTTCCTACGGTTATTTGACAGCCTTTCTGGTTTAACTTTCTATCATTTATTTATTCTGCAAACCCTTACTGAGCTCTTACTGTGTCCTAGATACTGTGCTAGGTACATGGTCCCTTCCTTTAACAGACAGTCTAGTAGGAGGGAATAGTTAAAAATAAGTGCAATCAAAAAGAGAGGGAGGGAGAGCGAGGGCAGGCAAACTTATCAGTGCAGTGATGTAACTTCATACCGGGTACAGTGAGGTCATAGGGAAGAGTATGGTCAGTTCTGCCTGGGGGGTTAGGGGAAAGAGGAAAGGCGCTATGGAAAAGATAGGAGAAACTCTGTAGACACTAACCTTTCATCTTTATATCCCCAACAGTGGTAGCAAAGCCACCTATGTTTACTGTATATGCCAGGCACTATGCTGAGCTCTTCTGACATCAAAACAAGCCTATAACATAATATAAATAAGGAAAGTGAGGCTTAGGAAGTTAAAGTGGATTTCCTAAACTCACACAGATAGTAAGTGGCAGAGCCAGGATTCAATCTCAGGCCTGACTACAAAACCTGAGTTATTAACCACCCTGCCATGTGGTACTCACCTATTTGAATGAATGAATGGAGATATTTGAGCTATGTCTTAGAAGATAAGGGCCCACCAAATATTCCTAGTGCTCTTTCTGGATGTTCAGGAGGATTGTTCTTACCTACCTTGAAGTTAGGTATGGCCATAAAACTTACTCTGGCTGATGAATTGTGAGCAGAAGTGATGTGTATCATTTCTGAGTAGAAGTTTTAAGAGCCAGTAAGTGACTTACCACCTCTTTCTCTCATTCTGCCAGGATGACTGGCAAAGCTCCAGACAGTGGCTATTTCATCAGCTGGGGCAGCAGAATAGTGCTCCCCAGTGAACCTATGTGAGTGAGCAAGAAATAAGCCTGGTTTTAAACCACTGAGAACCTGGGCTCTCTGTTATGGTAGCATAACCTAGCATATCCTGACTAGTACAGTGGGAGCTGTGTGGATACGGTGACTTCGGGAAAGAGAATTCTGTGAACTCCAAGTAGTACAGTCTACTCAAAGAGAGATGCTGCCACTTACTTTTTCTTTGGCAGTTTGCCAGAGTCCAACAGGAGTGCCCATATCTGATGAGTGCCTGCCATGGCAATCCACAGAATGTCATCTCTTTGGACCTCGGGACCTTTATAAAAATAAATAGTAATTATTATATACATATCTGATTAATATAAACACTCTAATTGTCTCAAAATTTTAAATCCAGGGCAGATAACAATATGTTTATAAACCATCTAATAAAACAATATTTGCAATGTTCTAAATGGTTTTTGAAAATTTTGTTTTCCTTGTGAAAGGTTTACTTCTTTAGATTTGTAATTTACCTGCAATAGTTTCAAAGGAATCCAAAGTAGTCTTAATAGCAATACTTACCTCTGCATCTTTGAGCACAATGTTTTTTAAACATCTGATTTATTTTATGTGACAGAAGAAACTGGCTGACACACATTCTCCAAAGAGACTCTTCGCTAGTCAAATACCTAGAGCGAACCGCCTAAGTTATAAGCTTTAGAAATAGGTTCTTTGAACAATTTCCATGAAGAAACCGTACCTTTTAAGAGTTTAAGAAATGTGTATTGACACCACAGTACCAATGAAAACGACTACGTCCCTGCTTAGTCAATGGTATTATTAGCTAAGGAAATGACCAAACAAAACAAAAACTTTAGTAGGTAGTACAAACAAAAGCCATAGAAAGTCCACAAAATGAATAATCTTATTCATTTTAACTTAATTTGGAATGTTTCCCACTCACAATATTCCAAAGCCTTTATTTGTTCAATATTTTTAAAATGCTACACGGAAAACTGTAAATGATTATGTATTCAAGTCCTCTATCCAGTTCTCCCATTTCTCTGACTGGAACCAAATTATTCTTATGGTAACTGTGATAAAACACTAAAAGAAGAGGGCTCCTGAAAGCATTTCTTCATCTAATTCTTTGGCTTTGTAACCAGCTGGGTCTGGATTTGAATTCTAACTGTATCACTTTCTAATTTGTGTGCCTCAATTTCCTCATCTGTAAAATGAGGATTATCATCACTCATTTCATAAGATTTTGGAGAAGAATGAGTAATACAACGTAAGTATAGTGCCTAACATGGTGCCTGGCATGTGTTATATGCTATTCTTCAACTTCTATACCATGCATGCTCCCTCCTTCCTCTTCCTAGGAAGCATATCTCCAATTACTAGCATTCATTCAGATGTTCAAGCTTCTTTCCTGCTCACCCTAATACAATACATACACACATGCACATACCCCGTTATTCTCTAGCCCCTTACCTTATCTGATTTTTCTTTGTAGCATTTATCACTATCTTATATGTTACATATTTATTTATTGCTTTACCGTCTTTCTCCTCTACTGAGCATAAGGTCTGAGGGGCCAGCACATAGCTGTTTTACTCACAGCTCTATCATCAGCGTCTAGAATAGTGCCTGGAACACGGCAAATGCAAATGCTCAGTAAATATTTGTTGAATGAGTAAACTTTCCCCTAGATATCACAAGAGAATTGTTCTCTTTTTTGTAATTATGTCTGTAAGCCCTAAAATTACCCTAATGATGATTGGTATTTCCTAATAGTACCAATGATTCATCACTAATCAAAGAAGTCTGCTATAAATGTGAACCTGTGCCATTATCCCCTAAAACAATGATTCTGAATGGAACTGGCATCTGCCTTAAAAATAGCTTTGGATATTTGACAGCTAATATATTGTATGACAGTACAGTCATGCCAGAACATTCACATATGAATACATTATTTTATTATATGTTACGCTTATTTCTTTATATTTACAAATATGTAAGTATAGGTGGATTATATGATCTATGAATTTCACTTTAGGTATGATAAAGAAGGCTTTTCATAAAGTTTATTATATGAAGAGGATTTAGGATCTGCTAGGGCTGAGAACTTTAAAGTCACACATAAAAATAAAGCCTTTCAACATCTCTTAAGCTTGTTAGCTTCCACTCCTGATAAAAACTCAGCAAACAAGGATCAGAAAGCAACTTATTTAATCTTACAAAGGATATTTGCAACAGAATCTATAGCAAACATCCTATATATTAGTGAAATACTGCAAACATTCTCCCTAAGAATGAAAATGAGACAAAGATACCTACTATCAACACTTCTATTTAGCACATATAGAGGGCCTAGTTTGTGCAACAAAGTAGGAAAAAGAAGCAAAAAGCCTAAAGATTAGAAATAAAACTGTAATTATTAGAAGATGACAAAATTATGTGCATAGAAAATCTTAAAATTTTAGAGAGAAACTACTAAGATTCATGCATGAATTCTGTAATGTTTTTGGGTATAAGCTCAATAAGCAGGAATAATTTTATTTATTGGTTTATACCAACAAACAAATAGCAAACAAAATTTATGATGACATTAAAACACATCAAAACACCTAAGGGTTAATTTAATAGGCGATGTATAAGCCCTCTACACCAAGAATCATTATTAAGAGAAATAACCATAGATTTTTATAAAACTTATCTACATTGAGAAGTCAGCCCTGGCCAATGTTAAGACCTTATAGATAAGAAGACTGCAAGGTTGACCAAGAAAATTAAAATAAAAGGACTCCACCCTTTCAGCTTCTCAGGTAACAAAACCTGGAGTCATCTTTAATTCCTCCTTTCTCCCACATGTCACACATGATCCATTAATAAATCTTGTCGCCTCCTCATTCAAAACACATTCAGAATCTGGTCAGGCATGGTGGCTCACACCTGTAATACCAGCACTTTGGGGGGCCAAGACGGGAGGATCTCTCGAGCCCAGGAGTTTGAGACCAGCCTGGGCAACATAGCAAGACCCTGGCTCTACAAAAAAAAAATATATATATATCCAGAATCTGACCATTTCTTACCACCTCCATCTTGACCTAAGTCACCATCCAGATTACTGCAAGGATTACCTCCTAACTGGTCTGCTACCCTGTTCCCACCTGAATACAGCCTCTTTATTTCTCTTTCACATGAATGTCCTACTCTAAGAAAATCCAGGAAGGATGAGTAGGGCAAATTTAGCTCTAAGTCTTAGGAACAAAAACATCTGCTTTTCTTAGTCTGCTTTTAGAGGCTCTGTCTTGGCAAAGAAGAGCTATGTTGGTGTGTATCTTAGTGAAAGATCAAATTTAATTCCATTATCTAGTTCTCTAAACAGGTCAGTCTAGCTCAGCTCAGGATTACTATACGAAGGCAAAATCTTCACAGTAATAAAGTGCGAGCGTTTGTTTCTTGGACTCTGTGTACTTATTTCCTTTAGATACCTGAGGAAGGAGGAAAAAGTATAGAAACAGGCTGTGTCAAGTCAGGATCCAGGTGTTTGGGATTTTACATACCAATTAATGATGAGGATGGTGGTGATATTGATAACTGCCCAGGAAACTTCCTACATTTAAGGCACTGAGCTAATCACTTGACACTGATTATTTCTTTTAACAGCCTTAAGAAGTCTTATTATCATCATCTTCATTTTATAAAGAAATTAAAATTCAAAGAGGTTAATTTGCTGAAATTCACACAGCTACACCTTGAATATGAATTCATTAGTGACTCTGACTCCAGATTACTGATGTTTTGGTAAGAATGAAAGAGCTACAGAAGTGAGCATGTGCGGTTCCAGTTCTCTGCTTGGTACTTTTTCTCCCTCCCTTCTGGTCTCTGACCTATGGACTTAACTCTGGTATCAAGTACCCTAGTACATTTTTGTGTGTGATCAAAGATAGGGATCTGATCAAATGAACCCATCACTTCCTCCTCCAGGATGTGTAGCTAGGTTCACCCTTATGCCCTTCTATAGCCCCTGGAAATGGTCTATGGTTGGATAATCTCTTAAAAGTATATTTTCTAGTCCCTTGCCTTCCCATTTTTGGTTTGGTTCAGATTATCAGCATCTTTGTGAGATTGATGACAAAATTTATTTTATAGCAAACACTTACATAGTACTTTCTATGGACCAGGCACTGTTCTAAGGGCTTTCTATATATATATATTAACTCTCATAATTCTCATTATAAACCTTTAAGGTAGGTACTAGGTATTATTTGTATCTTCAATTTAAATGAGGCAACTGAGGCATAAAGAGGCTATGGAACTTGTCCAAAGTCACACGACTACTAACATGTGACACTAAAAACCCTCTAGAGTCCATTCTCATAGCCACCTTGCCAGACCACCTCTCAAGCAGTTTTTACCCTGTCCAATTGTTTCCCTGAGCGCTGAAGAGTTTGTTCTTGCAAACAAAATGAGTTAAAAAAATAAAAAAAAAAAAGGTGGCCTGTCATTTATAATATCTGTCAAACTAGTGATAGTCATATTAATAATTTATACTGTTCATCTTGGAGTTTGGACTCTAAAGCACACAATTGCATTACTGGGCAGGGGTATTATACCATTAATAGTTTTTTTTTTCTTCTAACAAGAATGCGGTAATCATGAACATCTCAATTTTAAATTAAGAGTGCATTTAGTATTATTGACTTTCAACAGTCACAAATTGAAAATTTTTAAGAAAGGACAATGCCAAAAACTGAAAAGTTTTTGGAAGTATTTTTAAAGGTACACCCCCTCATAATTATCAATAAAGATTAGAGAAAAAGTTTCAGAAAACAGGAATAAAATCAACAAAATACAAAATGAAAATTACCTGAAATTCAGCTTTTAAAAATTCTGTGTTATTTTAAGCAACTATGACTAGAACCCCCTTAATAGCATCTGTGAAATCCTCCATCAGTGTAAATACATTTGTTTCCACGCAGTCTCTAAGCTCCTATGAAGCAAAGCCTTAAGCGAGAGGGAAAGCAACAAAGTCTGTGGCACAGGAAAAGATCCATTACAGCTGGGGAAAGAGCAGATGAAAACATTCTCTACAGACACCACGTAGAGTTCTTATTCTTATGGAGAAGCAGAACACTCCCCAAACCAATCACAGACACAAGATAAAAGTTTAGCTGCTACAAAGAGGAGGAACAGGAACAAAAAACTCCCCACATCCTTTCCTTGAGGCCCAGGCACCCTACTCTGGGTCCTCAGACTGAGGCTGGACCCACCACTGAGAAAACTGTCCAGCACCTAGGCCCTGCACTGAGGCAAAGTCAGAAG